TCCCCGCTGAAGCTTCCTGCCTTTAGTGCACTGACAGAAGTGTCCCCACCAAGGTTGCCTCCGCCATGTGCATCACGGAGAACCCCCCTCAGGAGGTCCCAGTGCCAGCTCCCTGGCAGCGGCCGCCTCCACAGCCCCAGCCTGGTCTCCCGCAGTTGCAGCAGCCCAAGTCAGGTTCGCAGCAGCTACCTCCAGCTGAGCCTGTTCTTGTTCTTGTTCTCCAGTGGGTTGGCCAGACAACCGACACTGCCTCAGACTTTGTTCCTGTTTCTGAGAGAGTCGGCCGGACTGCCGACGCCGTCTCAGACTTTGTTCCTGTCCCTGTTCCTGTTCCCGAGCGGGTCAGCCGGCATGCCAGCGCTGCCTTTGAGCCTGTTCCTGTTCCCGTCCCTGAGGGGTTCGACAATGTCAACACTGCCCTTGTTCCTGTTCCTCTGTGGGTTGACAGCCTCAACGCCACCTCTGCCCTTCCTCCTGAGGGGTGCACCGACGATGACATTGACGCTGCACCTGTTCCTGGTGCCCGGTGGGTCGACAGCTGCGACGCCACCTCAGTCCTTCTTCCAGAGGGCTTCGCCAACGATGACGGTGATGCCACCCCACTTCTCCTGGTTCCACAGGGGTTCACCAGCAGTGACGGCACCCCCCTTCTCCCAGCTCCTGAGGGGTTTGCTGACAGTGACGGCACCCCCATTCTACCTGTTCTTGAGCGGGTCAGCTGGTGCGCCGATGCCCCCACTGAGCCTGTTTCTGATCTAGAGTGGGTTGGCCGGCGTGCCGACACACCTCCAAGCCTGGTCCTGTTCCCATGGGGGCTGGGGTCACCTAGGCTGCGGTCCAGTCTGGATTGTCGCTGGTCCTGCCGCTAAGGGGACTCTCCTGAGTGGCCGTCTGGTGTGTCCTGTGGTCATCCTCCCGAACGGCCTCTCAGCGCTGCAGCCAGAAAAAATTTTAAATTCCTTCACCGAACATACAAAGCCCTTCATGACAAGGCTCCATCATTTCTTAAAGACTTCATAGCACCTTATCATCCCAACAGAGCACTTTGCTTTCAGAGTGCAGGTCTGCTTGTGGTTCCTAGAGTCTACAGGAGTAGATTGGGACACCGATGCCATCTCTGACTGTGTTCCCAAGCAGTTCAGATGGGATGCTCACGCTGGCTCTGGTCCTGTTCCTGTTCCCGAGTGGGTCAGCGATGGTGCGGATGGTCATTCAAGGTCATCCTCCTGTGCAACCCCTCCAGTGCCTTGCTTGCCTCCCAGACCATCCTCCGGAGTGGCCTCTCCAGTCTTCTGTCGGATCTCTAGGTTATTTTTTCGAGCGGCCTTCACAGCTCCTTGTCCAGTCCCAAAGTTGTCATGCCAAGAGGAATTCATCCTTCTGCTCAGCATCAAGGCTGTCCTCCTGAACCACCTCCTCTTCTCCTTGCCTGGTGCCTAGGTTGTCCTCCCGAGTGACCTCAGCTTCCTGCTTGGTTCCATGGTCATCCTCCCAAACAGCCTCATCCTCCTGCTCAGCATCGAGGCCGTCCTCCTGAACAGCCTCCTCTGCTCCTCACTTGGCTCCTGGTGTCGAGGTTGCCCATACAACCTCCTTGGCTTCCTGGCTGGCCCAGAGGTCATCCGCTAGAACGGCCTGCCCACTCTCCTACCCGGTCCCAAGGACGTCTGACTGACCTGCACCTCTGGCTTCTTGCTTGGTTCTGCGGATGCCCGCCCAAACAGATTCATCAGCTTTCTGCCTGGTCCCAAGGTTGTCCACCCGAGGGCCCTCCATGTCCTGTCTGGTCCCAAGTTCAGCCTCCAGGGAATTCTTCAAGAGTCACAGCAGTCAGGTCCAAGCACAGTTTTGCAAATATTCTCTTTGACCAAACACCATATGCAGCCCTGCCAGAGCAAACTGCAAACTGTTTAGATTTTAATGGTTATAAAGGTCATGAAGTGGTCATCATTAGGGTCAAGTTAAGTACATTTCTGCCCTTAAATATCACTGTGGTCAAACATTGAGCAATAGTTACAACTGAAACTGTCATATTTGGTTTTATCACTTCCCCAGTCCAAGTACAATGGACAGACCTTTAGAGTCCACAATCAGCTCTTCGCCAGTTGTTTTCTAGGTTTCATTGTTGGAGCTTAATGAGGGGTACCTGAGACTGAACCATGAACCACAGTGTCTTCCACTGACTGCCCTGTAATGAGTGCTACAAGGACTTGTGGGTAAATCATGGGTCCCAGCTGCACTCTGAGATTAACTGCAGAACAAGCAAGTTTTTGTTTCTAACTGATTCTCCAGGGTGATGAACACACTGGTTTGACTGTCCTCTGGTGCATGCTTAAACATCATTTTTTATCCAGCTTGTAACAAATTTAATGGGAAATTTATATCAGCACCATTTTAGTGTATTGGCTATTGCTATGCAGTTATTCTATGCAGTTATTTGTGTGCTTGTGACACTAGACGGTTTACTGTCAGCATGTTGTTGAGATAAACATGCCTTTGTGGGAATGCTAAACCAGATAACTTGTATCCAGTTTTGCATCTGCTTTAGCATCTGTTTCCTGCATTTGTATGCGTGTGTATAAGAAGAGATGTAGCCCTCCATACTAGGAGCCTATCTCTTCAGATTGTTACTCTTAGCACTGTGTACGGAGACCGCCCCTTCCCTGCAGGGAATAAATGTGCAACAACTTTCAGAATTGGTATCAAGACTTTATTCTACACTCACCAAGCTTTAATAAGATCATTTTTGCCACAGCACAAGGCACACATGCTGGTGATAGCAACACAGTGAGTGTACTATTCTTTTAGACAGTTCACTTCACCTATTTATTTGTTTTTACCAGCTCCTGGTTTAGAATGTTTTTCAGGCAGCTAGAGTTAATTATTTTAGAGGCTAAAGATAAAATCAAAGTTGAGATGGTCATCCCCTGGCTGAGCAAATGAAACTTTTAACACTTAAAGAACAGCCATTTGGTTCCCTCTGACATTTCAGGGCATAGACCAGTGTAGACATGTATACATTTCAAGTAACCTGCCTTTTGTGGCTACTTATCCTCACTTAAAAAATAATTTAATGTACCACAAAAGTGAAAGTAATAAACAACAAAAGATAAATTTTCTTAAAGTGGTATGTACAATAGCCTCATAACACTGCTCAATTAGATGATTGTTTCCTTCTGCAGTTGCATAATAATGCATGTCTTGTAAAACCAAAGCAGGAGGTGGTTGGATTTGCACAAAAACTATTTGGTAGAATATGCGTGTTTCTGATTTATGAACAACCCTCATTACCCACTCCATCACTGCATCTCCATCATCTCCATCAGTAAATGATGCTGAGACGTAGGCTGTGAAAATCATGATTCATCAAGATTCAAAGCTGTACCAGGTTGGTTTCTATATATAAACACACCAAGTAGATCAGCCTGCAACACAAGGTAGGGTAACAGAAAAATATTCCATCTTTCCAAACCCACATAATCTCATTTACTTGACCTATGTTGTTTATGAGGTATGTACACATCATCTCTTTATGGGTAGCATTGGTGGTCCACCACTCTGTCCAGACTGAAATGTTTCAGCAAATTTTCGATGGATTGTCATGAAACTGTGTTGAGACATTCATGGCCCCCTGACAGCAAATCCTAATGACTTGGGTGATCGCCCAGGTTTTGTCTTGTGCCACCATAAGGGTAATATTTTTGGTTTTGAGTTATATGATGGTAACTACAGGCATTCCCAGTAGCCACAAGATGAATCTTTAAAATGTTGCTGATTCCTAGCATCAGCTTAAAATTTGTCCAGCAATTTATGCAACACTTACCACTCAAGACTACAAATCTAATGCATATTGATCACATTTTAGTATGCTAACACAATAATCTATCATGGTTAAGGTAGTAAACATTATGTGCTAAACACTAACATTGTTGTTAGTGTGTAGCATGTAGTTAGTGTGCAGTGTAGCAGGGTTTCCAACTCAGAGGGCACCACCCAAAAACTGCAGGGTCATTAAACAAAAAGGTTTAACCTAGCTCAAATGTTGCTGGATTGCAATTTGGTATCATGTGGAAAAAGTACCCTGGTAGCCAATAAACACATGCAAGTGCATAATGTGTTCAGCTGTGTTTTGCCCTTTTGGTGACCACAGACAACAATTCTGTACACAGCCAGGCGTTACATTATTAAGGAAAGAATACATCATGAGCAGATGGACTCGGGGCTGGCTTTAGTTCTGTCCAATCATTGCAGCTTCTTTCATCCCCTTTAAAGAGCAGGATGGGAACCTCACTGATTGATGTCACTGGTGTCAGGACATGGAAATATATGCAAGAAAAGATTCTTTCCCTGTATCTTCTTCTCCTGCCAGTTATGTTCTCTATTCTGAAACTGGCAAAATGGTTTATTATAGTGGCACCCAACATGAATATTCACCCAGTAGTCTGCTAATATCACTGACCAGCTTTTATGCACGGAAGATTTAAACTCTCTGGTCCTGTAAACACATCACAGTTTTGAATGTAATAGAATAAAATCATCTTGTAACATGTTTGTGGAGAAACTGACCATGGTCCACCAGAGTTCACAGCCAGTGGATGTGTCACCCACTTTATCTCCACCTACAGCTGCTTTCAGAGTTGATCAAATTACCATAAAATGCAAAACCAGACACAAGGTATGTCTGTGTGAAACTTGTTTATTTGAAGAAACTGTCACTTAACAGTGACAGCAGCCACACTGAGGTCGGACTGACTTTTGTTATGGCCGCATGCCACACAAGGTGGTGTGACAGAGGAAGCAGACTCAGATGGCTGATTTCAACATAAACAGTGTTTAATAGTACGGTACAGATTAGAATGGTGATAACGTGTCAAAACACATATAAATGTCCAGAATAGGTGTAGAGGGTATAGGTGTTGATCTTAGGCAGAGATGATGAAGGATGTAGCAGGGTCGAGCTGTGGAGCAGGAGGGTCACTCACTGGCTGGTCAAGGTAGAGATGGTTGAGGCAGAAGAACAGGCAGGAGAACACGATGAGCAGGTAAAAAACAGGATAGGAGAGCACCGACCTGGTAGAGGGATGCTAGTCCGAGGGGTAACGATGGGTGTTGGTCAGAGGATGACAACTCCGTGTGGAGGCTAATAATTCAAAAGGGGAGCTGACGTCTGGAATAGGCAAGGAGAAGGCTAAGAGAATAAAGGACGCAAACTTGAACTGAATGTACATAAAGACAGTAACAGGGAGGAACGGCACTAGTCATCTGCATGGGAACAAACAACGAACTGGCAGTGAGCTGGTTGGAAGGCAGGGTCGATATGGGAGGCGGGCAATTGCAGGATAGACAACAGGTGGTGATGATAAGGATAGCTGGCAGGTGTATGGAGGTGAGAGAGGGCAGGCAAAACAGGGCGACCCTGACAACTTTACCTGCTGTGTAACAGGGTTAATGGAGATGTCTGCAGGGTGTTTATTTGTTGAGCCCAATAAGATGCTTTCATGTGTTCATTCATTCATTCATTTTCTACCGCTTAGTCCCTGAATGGGGTCACGGGCACGGGCACGGGGGGGGGGGGGGGGGCAAGGAAGCCGGAGTACCCAGAGAGAACCCACGCAAGCACGGGGAGAACATGCAAACTCCACATGGCCCAAACCCGGAACCTTCTCGCTGTGAGACAACGGTGCTAACCACTGTGCCACCGTGCTGCCCTGCTTTCATGTGTTATTATGTGTAATTTTTTAACATGGATTTGGATTCCCAAACACCGACTGCTACTCACCTCTGGCTGCATCCTGTAAGGCCAAATGCTGCCAACACTGTCTGTGTCAAGACTCGGTTCCGTTTGCTTCCTGTCGTGCTTTTATTTTGACGTTACTTCCTGTTTTTGTTTCACCACAGTTCCGGTCTTTTTACTTTGATCATTACTCACATTAATTTAACCTGTTTCTGATTACCCGCACCTGTGTCCACCAGCATAAAGGCAGCGTTTCCTCAATAGAACGCTGCCAGATTGTTCTAGACTCCAGCTCTGACTCTCTAGTTTCTGACCCTGGATTTCTGTTTTTGACCACCGTGTATTGCCTTGCCCTTCTAACTCGGACTGCTTCTCTGTATATCGGCTTATCGAACTTCCCTTTTGGACAACGCATTTTGGATTCCTTGGATGTATGTGTTTGCTGGTTCTGACCCTGGACTGTATTATCGACCTGTAAGTGCGTTTCGTATTTAACCCATGTGTTGTATCATTTTTTGTTCATTGTCAATGCTCTTATTAAAGAGATGGTGTTTCTTTACTTATTCTCGTCTGGCTATTTAATTGAGTTTACCCACGACATTATCAGCAGATTCACGCTCCAATCCTGACAGTCTGACCATATTTATATCTATAGCCACATACTGAGAACTAGTTTATCTTATTTAAAAATTATGTTCATGGTACACAAATTATTTAGTGAATTCCAGCAGATCAGTTGTGTATTTAAAGGTTAATTTTAATTTGGTGTGGCCATTACAATACATTTGGGTACCCAAACCGACGCACTTGTCAAGAAAATTGTAAATGCACCTTGAAATGTGATGCGGTGGTCGTAGCTGGTGTTACTACCATTATTTGGGGCCAAAACAAGCACCAGAATTGCACTACAGTGCCTAATCAGCATACGCACGGCCTCAACTGTGCCTCTCCTCCCACCTCAGTGTAAGTACAGTGTAAGTATGGTACAAGGGTTATTAGACCAGCAGAATACTGGCCTGAAATCTGCACAATGTTTGTGAAATATTGGCATATAAGATCCCAATATTTTAAGCCTGTTAGAAGTTAAAAGCAAGTAAATTTAAATTTAAGCCCTGATCACATGAATGGTAAATAAACCTTGCTTATATTTTCTGAGTTTCTGGTGGAAGAAAAATCTGAAAATTAATGGAAAATAAAACACATTTCATTTTCATGGTGTTTCCTTATTGATCTGAAAACCAGAGGGGACCGCTGCTGGAAGTTGTTCCAAAGCCGGAATAAATTAATCAGAACTTGATGTTGCTTCTTGGCTCCTGAGGAGCAGCCAGTGCTATAATCAAAACAGAGCTCAGAGGGGTGCAGTGTGTTTCCACTGGGTCATCAGGAACAAATCAGCAGCTCAACTTATTCCACCACTTACTCCAACAGACTTTCCTAATTGGGTGATGATGCAGGAAGTTGATAAAACACTTTGGAATGGCCAATTAACCTATGCATTATCAGCCCCTAAACATTATGTGTATAGTATATACATCTAATGTGCATTAGTAAGTAGGTCTGTAGTAAACATAATATTGCATGGATTGTTATCAGCATGAAGAGGAAACATTTATATTGACAGGTTCTGACAATATATGTTCATAATGAACTCATCAAAACTGGTCATTGTCAGTCAGTGTCACTGTTTTTCATTTGTTTTGCTCCAATATGCACCCCCAGCAACAAAGCATGATTAACATCTTTAAAGTTGTGTTTAGGGAACCCAAAGTACTTAAAATTAGGGAAATATTGTGCTCTAATTAAATATTGAAAAGGCCAACTGTCAGGTTTGTTCAGCTGCACCTGCCTCTCTCACTTCCCTCTTTGTTTTTCGGTCCCTGATCACGTCACCTGGAGAGAGGGATGTCTGGGCATCTTTGCTTAGACTGATGCCCCCGCGACCCGGTTCCGGATAAGCGGAGGAAAATAGATGGATGGATGGATTACGTCACCTTGCACACCTGCCACTCGTTTTTTTAATTGACACCAGCTGTTTTCACTGTCCTTCACCTTATTTATACCCAATTCACTTTCCACTCCCTTGTCAGTTCGTCGTTGCTTTCATGCCAACAACCCGCGCCACTTTGTTTCTCTTGCCTTTGTGTTTTTCTCGTGTCACTAGTTTTTTGCATTCTGGATTTTATATCTGCTTTTCCCCCAGCTCCTTGCTACACCTCTCCTGCTCCTCCTCACCACCACAACCACGGATTACCATCTCCGGACCATTACTCCACTCTACCCTTCCAGCCTCCACCAGCCAGGTCGGTACACAGTCATCAGATCCCATCTACCACCCACCGGCCAGACCAGGAGTGACGCTAGCGTCTGTAGCTCAGCCTATCTCATCATATCCATCCATCATCTGTTCTTCTCTGCTAGCTGTTCAGCACCCAGTTCTCCATTTCCTAGTTGTTTTCTTATCATGTCACTTATACAGTGGTGTGAAAAAGTGTTTGCCCCCTTACTGATTTCTTATCTTTTTGCATGTTTGTCACACTGTAATGTTTCAGATCGTCAAACAAATGTATATATTAGTCAAAGATAACACAAGTAAACACATCATGCAGTTTTTAAATGAAGGTTTTTATTATTAAGGGAAAACAAAATCCAAAACTATATAGCCCTGTGTGAACAAGTGTTTGCCCCCTAAACCTAATAACTGGTTGGGCCACCCTTAGCAGCAACAACTGCAATCAAGCGTTTTCGATAACTTGCCATGAGTCTTTTACAGCGCTGTGGAGGAATTTTGGCCCACTCATCTTTGCAGAATTGTTGTAAGTCAGCCACATTGGAGGGTTTTCGGGCATGAACTGCCTTTTTAAGGTCATGCCACAGCATCTCAATTGGATTCAGGTCAGGACTTTGACTAGGCCACTCCAAAGTCTTCATTTTGTTTTTCTTCAGCCATTCAGAAGTGGACTTGCTGGTGTGCTTTGGATCATTGTCCTGCTGCAGAACCCAAGTTCGCTTCACCAACAGTGACTTGGGTATGACAAATTAATTTTTTCAGTATTTTACCAAAATCACATTGGTTATCTAACCGTAGTGGAGTTCAGCTTTTTGGAAAATACATGTTTTTTTACTCTTTCACTTTCAGAAAGTGACAAGAGAAGACTACTATCAGTCTCATGTCTGTGTAAGTTCAGAGCTACAGCCTGGACATAGTTAGCTTGGCTTAGTATAAATACTGGAAGCAGAGACAAATAGTTAATTTTACTTATCTTCTGCTGAGGCCGAAAACCTGCCTGCCTTGCAGACTTGACCTGACTCAACCCATCTGGTATCCTGACAACATTTTACCTTGTGTGATGCGAGTCCTGTAAATAGTCTTGTATTGTATAAGCTGTAAGTTTATATTGGTAGTCATGGAAAAGATATTACAAATCTCGGTCCAGAAGTCAGGGCTGGGGGGGGGATAAATCCGTTTCCCATTTAGTCATTGGGAATGTTATTGTTCCATCTGCATTTGACATTAGTTTATAAAGTTTAGATATTATCTTCTTTGAGTTTGTAAATTTCATTATCTCCTCAGCTAGCATGGAAGGCTGCAGGGGCTTGTTGATTATCTTTAATTCAATTATAGATTTTAACTGTTGGTACTGGAGAAATTCTCCTCTTCCAACTCTGTACTTCTGGACTAGTGTATTAAATGATATAAACTGGTTGTTTTCAAATAGATGATGAAGGTGAGTTATTCCTTTGTGTTGGAAAGTAGATGGGATTATTATTAACTGGAAAGTCAGGGTTATGCCAAATTGGATTGTATCTACATGGTGTTAATGATGATTTAGTGGTTTTGTTTGCTTTCCACCAGGCTGTCAGAGTTGCAGAGACTGTGATGTTTTTGAAATAGTTCATTTACTTAATTGAGTATGGTAGGAAGGCAAGGTCTGTAACTGAAGTATTTCTGCATTGATTTTGTTCTAGTTCTATCCACGAGCTATTACAACTATCCTTCTGAATCCACTTAACTAAATATTGTAATTGATTTGCTAGGAAATAATACTCAATATTTGGTGCTTCTAGGCCACCTTGTGATTTATTCTTCTGGAGTGTTGACAGGGAAACTTTGGGTTTTTTATTATTCCAGTAAAATTGTGAAGTTAGAGAATCAAGTGATTTGAACCATTTATCTGTTGGTGTTGTGGGATGCATTGAAAACAGCAGTGACGTGCGGTGAGGTTGACAGCTGGTGAGGCACTGACTCTTTTACAGTCAGATTTACAAATACAAATGAACCGTTAACAAATTGTCTGTTAACAGACAATGCATTATGTTTATCTCATATCAGCATTCTTCACACAAACCCAGACCCATATTTAATTTGAGGTTAAAATTTATTCCAATTGAGCTTATTTCTAACTAGAAATAATAAAAGTTTATGGTCTTACCTTTACTTGTACACGAAATCCATTTGTCAGCTGGTATGTATTACAAACCCTTTTACCGTTCGAATCCAATATTAAACCAAATGTTCTCAATAAAGAAGATCCTTCTGGACAAAAATGTCCAGACTGTCAAAAATGTTTTGATTGAAAGTCCAGATTTGCGAATTTTCTCAGCCTGGAAATGTAATCTTCCATTTTGATAAGGCGGATTGTAAAGGAAATATAAACAAGCACGAAAAAGATTGTAGGTAGCGCAAGAATCTGTGGGCTTACTAGCGCCCTCGCCTTGAGGCAGGCGTACTGTTTGCCTCACCGAATAACTTTTTAACTGGGTTTTATGGTTAATCTGCGAGCCTAAACACGTTACAGAACTACATTTTATACATTATCCAGATTATGGCAAGGCAGAGCATATAATCAGAGTGTTTGAAAGCATTTTATTTGCGATATATAGAGGGACAGCGACACACTATTTGCATCGCATACAGTTTGTGAGGATTACACGATCCACCGAGAGGCACAGCAAAGTGCTGCCTCATCGCGCATCTCCTCCATGTATTTGAACAGGACATATGGAAATTCTGGTATTCTTTATTGAAAAAAAATCCTTCAACATCAGATTCGAATGGCAAAAGGGGCTACAACACACACCAGCTGACAAATATTAACATTTATTATATTTTATGGTTAACTTTTTTATATTTTCAAGATTGACAGGGGAGGCTCTGCCTCACCTGCCTCCCCTGACCGCACGTCACTGGAAAACAGGTAGTTAATTTGTAGTAAAGTTTTCATTTTGACTGTAGCAATTCAGCCAATGTGTGACAGTGGGAGGTTGGACCAGCGTTTGAAGTCATCTATCTTTTTTAGCAGAAGGGTGTAGTTAAGGTTCAAAAGTTCTGACAGCCTAGCGGAAATACAGATGCCTAAATATTTAATGTTGCCAGTGTGAAGTGGTAGGGACAGTCTTGGGCTGCCAGGCATCTTCAGAGAGTGGCAATATGGTGGATTTATTCCAGTTTATTGTGTAGTTAGAGATCCTGGAGAATGCATTAATAATGGAGAAAGTTTCTCGTAGTGAATTGTAGGGGTCCTATAGATATAGTAGTAAATCATCCGCATAGAGACTAATTTTATGTTGTGATCTAGCATCTTGTATTCCTTTGATGCTATTATTCTGTCAAATTGCTGCTGCTAGAGGTTCAATGAAGATGGCGAATAGAGATGGTGAGAGTGGGCATCCTTGTCTAGTTCCCCGGTGGAGTATGAAACTTTGCGAGGTTATACCATTTGTGGTTATTGTAGCTCTTGGTAATGTATATAGTGTTTTAATCCAGTGGATGAAAGACTCTCCAAAACCAAACCTTCGTAGTGTGCTGAATAGAAATGACCAGTTAACTTTGTTGAATGCTTTTTCTGCATCTAAAGATACAATTATGGTGTTAGTTTGTTCTTGTTGTTACGCACTGTCTGTTGTTCTTGTTGAACCTGTAGCAGCAGCAATATGACAGGTTGATTAAGTTAAAGAGTTTATGGGTGTTGTCCGAAGCGTGCCTACTTTTAATGAAGCCTGTTTGGTCTGGGTGGATTATTGCTGGGGTAACTGTCTCTATTCTAGTGGCTAGTGCTTTGGTGATAATTTTTAGATCTGTGTTTTAATAAGTGACAGAGGACGGTAACTGGTGGGTTGGGTCTTTATTGGGTTTCAGGAGGAGTGTCATGGCAGCCATATTCATACTGTATGTGTCAGGACTGTAGAGGTAGTTTTAATTTCTGTGGTAACTCTAAGAAATAGCAGTGATAAAATCTGCCAGAAGTGTTTATAAAATTCAGCAGGGAATTCGCCAGGTCCTGGTGATTTATTATTTGGCATGGATTTCAGTGCTTTGTGGAATTCTTCCAGAGTGATGGGGGCATCTAGGGTATCGGTTTGTTCTCTTGATGGTGTTGGTAATTTTATATTGTTTAGGAAATTACCTATTTCAGATGGGTTTGGTTCGTGATCAGAGGAGTATAGTTTGCTATAAAATGCCTTAAATACGTTGTTGATATCCTGTGGATTATTAACAGTTTTGCCTGTAGAGTCAACTATAGATGTGGCGATTGCCTTTTCTTTTTTACATTGTAGTTGATTTACCAAATATTTACCTATTCTGTTACTATATTGAAACTGCTTGTATTTGAGTTGTTGGATTAGGAATTGTGTTTTTTTTGTGTATAATACGTTTGAGGTGGGTCAATTCATTCTGTATTTGTTCAGTAGGGTTATTTGAATATGATTCTGTCAGTTGTTTTTATTTTTAGTTCTAAATTGTCTTCCAATTCTTGTTGTTTTTTCTTGTATGAGGAGTATGATATTATTTTTCCTCTAATTACTGCTTTTCCTGTTTCCCATAGTAGAGAGGGTGAGGTTCCTGGAGAGTCATTCATCTCCAGAAACAATGCCCACTCTTTTTTTAATATAACTGTCAAAATCCACATCTTAAAGAAATTATGTGTTAAAGTACCATCTTTTAAAGGGTTTAATAGGGATTTGAGTATTTAATTTGAGCGAGATTGGAGCGTGGTCACTAATTATGATTGAATGAATAGTGATTTCTGTTGCATATTGGGTGGAGGAGTTGGATCGATCATTTCTAGGGTGTATAACAGTGTAAGTCTCCATCAATAATGTTTGTAAAGTTGTGCAGTAAAGAGAAAAAAATATGGAAAAAAGATGGGTCATCATTATTAGAGCCGTAAATGTTGGCAAGTGTGTATGTTGTGTGGTTAATCAAAACATTAACAATGATAAATCTACCTTCTGGGTCAATGGTGGATGTGTTATGGACCAGTGAGATATTTTTATTAATTAGAGTTGAGACACCTCACAG